TTCCCCCTTACAGCCCCCCCGCCACATAATGGCCCCCTACAGATGCCTTCCTTCCTCGCTCCGGTAATAGACCAACCCCCCAACCCTAACCCAGTTTTCCCCCGACAAGCGAAGGTCTCTTTAACTCAGGAGGTCTCCTCCTTAAAAGATATCTTAGAACAAAAACGGGAACATTTAAAACTTATGAAGGAACTTCGTGCTCTTGAGGCTGAACTCGCCTCTTTTAATCCACCCCCTCCCACGCTAGTTAATAAGTCTCTTACACCAAAGACTCCTGTTAGTCCTCCCATTCCTCAGGGTCCTGCAAACCGTCCTAAATCTACTAGGGAGTCATTGACTAACCTTATTCAACACACTTTCCTTACTTTAAATCACTCTAGCCCGAACCTAACAAAATCCTGTTGGCTATGTTATGGTGTCAGCCCTCCCTTTTATGAAGGCATTGCTGTCTCAGGTAATTTTACTGTTTCCAACAACCATAATCAATGTCGCTGGGCTCAACAGGGGTCGGCAAGACTGACTCTCCAATCTGTTTCAGGACAGGGAACCTGCTTAGGTAAGGTTCCTGTTGCACATCAGCATCTATGCACCCAAACTACCAATAGCCTTAATGATAACCAATATATTATCCCCCCGAACAATACATGGTGGGCCTGCAGTGATGGACTCACCCCGTGTGTATATAGTACCCACCTAAAGACCAATACAACTCAGTTTTGTGTGATTGTACAGCTTATCCCTCGCTTGACTTATTATGATGAAGCTCAGTTTGCACAAGCCTGGGACCCTAAAGATGATCATAGTCTGCTTAGACCCAAACGCGAACCAATCACGGCTGTGACCCTAGCGGTCCTTTTGGGTGTTGGTGCGGCAGGGGCAGGGACGGGAATACCCTCTCCCGTTCTCTCCAACAAGTAATACTCAGACCTTCGAATGTCCATCGATGCAGATCTTGAGCGCCTCGAAACTGCCATCTCCCACCTACAACAGTCATTGTCCTCCTTAGCGGAGGTTGTCCTCCAAAACCGCAGAGGCCTAGATCTTTTGCTTTTACAACAGGGGGGCCTCTGCGCTGCCCTAAAAGAAGAATGTTGCTTCTATATGGATTACTCTGGAGTCATCAAAGACTCCATGAGTAAGGTCAGAGAAGGCCTTGAAAAACGCCGCAAACAAAGAGAATCCGAACAAAGCTGGTTTGCTAATTGGTTTGCCATATCCCCTTGGTTGACCACACTCTTGCCCTCTATCTTAGGCCCCTTCCTAGGCTTTCTTTTGGTCCTATCTTTTGGTCCTTGGGCTTTCCGCAGACTTACCACGTTTGTTAAGAGCCAAATAGAAAGTTTTTATGCAAAACCCCTTCCAGTTCATTACCATCGCCTGGCATTGTCTGAAGCAGGATTCGATGTATGTAATGATGCATACACTGATGCTGGCCCCTTCCCTACGGGGACGACATAATGTACGGAGGTATGTCTACCCTTAGGGGTATGGGCACCGAGATGGGTGCAGTAGCAAAGCTATTGCAAGGGAAGGTCATAATAAAAAGGACCCCCTCTGTATTTCCCTGTGAATACACCTGGTTTGCATAGAGGTTGGTACCAAAAATCAATTCTAACGGCTCTGCCTCTCCTCCCCAAAAGGTACCAAGAGCCATTACTAGTGGGCCCACATAGCCCACGGGAGGAACCAGGTCAATGTTCCCCCACTCGGTAAAAGCCCACCTTTCTTAAACAGTAAGGTCCTCCTCGGGTTCCGCGCAATAACTAGGTCCTGCGGGTCGGGACAATATAGCATATACCATACACTACAAATGTATGTATATATATGAAAGAGAGAGATACAGAATTAATGGAAACACATAGGAGAGTAACTTAACCCTAAATAATTAGAGTCAGGGTCAATTATTAAGGTCAGTTCCAGGAGGAATTAAAATCTAAACTGACTTTGAAGGACAAATAGAGGATGACTTGAGGGGTGGGAGTGAAGGAGGAGTTTTGGGATAAGGAAGTTGTGAAGTAAGTAACAAGAAGAGGAAAGACATAGGCCAGAAAATAAAAAAGATTTTCAAGAAAAAAAAGATTTATGACTGGGGGTGGGGATGAGGAGTGGAGGGAATAAAACTGGAAAAAGCCAGATTGTGAAGAGTCATTTTATTCCATGTCGAAGAAGTTGTTCTTTATGCTAAGAACAATGGAAAACCAGTGTGGAATTTTTAAGTAGTAAAGTGACAACTTCTGATTGCATTTTAGAACAATTACTCTGTCTTAGAAAATGAATTGGGAGATATCGGGAAGACTGTTATGAGACATTTATAAGAATCCAAGTAAAAGATGTTACAGGCCTGTTTCAGTGGAGCACTGAGAATGGAGAAAGGATGGAGAAAGGTTGAGACACATTAAGCAAAGTGGGCAGTAATTAATTAGTCATTGGTTCTGGAGAAGTGAAGAATGAGTCATGATAACGCCCAGGTTTCTGGATTGGGCAACCAGAAGCCATCCCTGAAATAAGAAACACAGAAGACTTACGGTGTATAATGATGCATTTATTTGAGTGAGACATGTTGTATTTGAGATGCCAGGCAGCTCCACACTGGATCATGTCGTTTCTATATATGAATCATTTGCTGATTCTCACTGAAATTTGAAGCGCTCTAACTGGAGGTTTCCAGTTTGCTTCCTCCCTGCAAGCTCTGCTTAAAGAAGCTCCTCGCTACCTGTTCAGGGTTCTCCTCCCCAAGTGGAAGACATGCCCATACTGCCTTGAGAAAAAGAAAATTTTCCACATTACAAATCTGGTCATGTTATTCTTACCCAACTTCACCCTCAGATTGGAGTTCAAATACCTTAGCGTGGCTCCCAGGAGTCTGTGACAATCTAGTGTCTCACATAATCTGCTTTTACTCATACTGGTCCCTCTACCTAAAATATCATCTCTGCCCCACTGTGACACCCTCCAAGCTCCTATGTCCTGCAGGACTTAGCCTAAGTGTCTCCTCTATTTGGACTTTTCCCATCCCAAGTCATAGTCCCACAGCTGATTTAGACCTTTGTAGTCGAGACCAAACTAGTATAGGGAAGGCTCACTTCAAAGCAGACAGAACTTTGGTCTGTGATTGTTATTAATTTATTGCCTCTGAGCTGTAAATCCACCATTCCTTGCCCTGGGGAGCTGGACTCTGCAGACTGCGTTTCCCCATTTCCTATCTAGATGCTAAATTCTGCCTATGAACGGTGCTGAGGCACACTGCAAGGCTGGAAAAGGAAAAAGATGTTTTTCTCCGAGTAAACAGATCAATAATGAGAGTTCCCTGTTCGGAGCCAGCTTCTTTGCCAACACACTGGTGATAGCTTCTGTTGTGGGTTGAATTGTATCTCCCCAAAAAGATTTGTTCAAGTCCTACCCTTTGGTACCTGTGAATGTGCCCTGATTTGGAAATAGAGTCTTTGTAGATGTAATTAGTTAAAATGAAGTCACAATAGAGAAGAAGTGGGCACTAATCCAATGACTCACGTCCTTCTAAGAAGAGAAAACAGAGACACATGCAGGAAGACAACCCTGTGAAAACAGAGGCAAAACATTGGAGTTATGCTATGGCAAACCAGAAAACACTGAGGATTGTCAGCAACCACCAGAAGTTAGGAAGGAGGCATGGAACAGGTTATCTCTCAGAGGTCCCAGAGGGAACCAACTCTACCAACACCTTGATTTCAGACTTTACAACCTCCAGAACTGTGAGAGAATAAATTTGTTCTTTCAAGCCACTCGTTTTGTGGCAGTTTGTTATGGCAGCCCTAGGAAACTGACACAGCTCCAGCCAGTGTCTTGGCCACCATATAGGTAGCAGCTGTTAGCTCTCAGCAGAAGCCAGTTTCTTCACCACAGCCGCAGGTATCATGCTCTTGTGGCAACCCCACTCTCTTCTTGGAGCAAAAGACATAGTAGTAAGTGGATGCTTTGTGGGTACTGTATTGTTGCGGTGATGAAAAGTTCTGGAACTAGATCATGGTGATGGTTATACAACATTATGAAGGTACTTAATGTCACTGATTTGTACACTTTAAAACAGCTAAGGTGGTAACTTTTATGTTATATTTATCACAATAAAAAATTTAAAAGTAACTATAAATGCAAAGGGCACTACTAGCTCTGGGGCTAAGGAAAGAATAAATGGATAAAGGACTTAGAAACTCAGAAGAGGCTCTTGCCCCAAGTCAGACTGATTTTTTTATATATATAAAATGGTAAATACACATAACAAAATTTAGCAACTGAACCATTTTAAAGTGTACAGTTCGGTGGCATTAAGTACCTTTGTAATGATATACAAACTAGTACAGATCCTTTCTTTATCCCAAAAGGAAATTCCGGACCTACTAAGCATGCAATTACTACTACTTGTGCTCTGTACCTCATAGAGCCTTTTACCGTTCTTAGGCATTAACCATGGCCAGCACCATCAAGGAGTGTGCCTAACCTGGGTTAGAGCTCTGAGGGAAGATAAGGCAAACTAGAGGGAAGCCAGCAAGGACCATGAAAGGGCCAGGCCAGACAAGCGTACGATGCTAGACTAGTCCTGGGAGATTACGTCCTGGACAGAAATACCCTTCTCAGAGAGGTGGACAACATGCTTGAAAAGTATTGACCCACCCAGGTCTCACTACATCTCTCACATTGAAGGAAAGTCCATGAAACAGCATTTGGAATAAAATATTAGGAAAACCACCATATAGATAGTAAATTGGAAATTTTGGATGGGATGCAGAAGTTCCTAGAGATATATAAAATGCCCAATTCGTGCCTATATATTGAGGAAACTGAAAAGTTATCAGATTGTCTCTCCTGAAAAGAGCAAGCTGTTAGGAAAATTAGAAGACTTTAAAAACCTGCCCACTCATTTTATGAGGTTAGTATAATATTGATTCCAAAACCAAATAAGGGCAATATGAGAAAATAATAACAGCTTATTGAATCTAACAGTGTTTGTAGAAAGTTTTACTTTTTTCAAAGAACGGGATGTACTACTATTTGCAGCTGCAGGACTAAACATTTATGTTTCCCCACAATCCATGCCCACACAACAGAACTTTCTTCCACTTTCTTTCCCAAGGCTGTATTGGAGGAAGCATGGAATCTTATCATTCATTACTCTATTTTATACTAGAACCCAGGCAAGGAGTGGGGATGAGGGCTATTATTGCCTGGGGCTCAACTGCTTAGGTAAAAACATATTCAATAAATTAGAACAATTTTCTGGGTGGGTTGCATTAACCAGTGTAAATGAATTATTTAAGTATAGTAACATCTTAAGCCAAAACATTCTTATTACCTAAACTCTGGACTCTACCTCTATTTCCTTTAGTCCAAATTTCAAAATTAGATGAACACAGATGGAAATTTGACATGTAGTCTCTATGTTCCATTCTTTAATTATCTACTTATACTTTGAATTTTTTTATAAGGTATAGAAAAGAATAAGCATAGTAAACAGTAATTTCTTCACAGATAACCTTTACCCAAATGACTTCAGTGAGTTGGTAGACTTATAGGCTAATAGTATTTAGTGATTAGCAACTTGATCACAACTGTATTAGGATTCCAGTAATTAGGACTGATCTCTACAGCATTTCTAAGTTTTGATAAAACAGTATTGGAAAGTCATATGGAATACAATTAATTTTCTAGTATCAGCATAGACTTGTAACTTTCATAAACTTAACTTTATTTCATTTGATGTTCACTTGTCACAGACCAAGCACACATTCTCATTCAATAATAGAAGTCTCTCTTAATTGTAACATTTGCAAGTTTGCAAGTACACTCACAATTAACTTATACACATTGCGAGAGGTCTCAAAATTAAAATCTTTCCCTTCAAAGTGGAGGGAAAAAAATGCTTTCATGCACACATATTTAAAAAATAAAATTACAGTTTATTTTTATTTATTTATTTTTTTACAGCAGAAAAGAAAAGCTTTATTAGAAGGGAAAGTACATGGAAGCAGGCCTGAGTAAGAGAAGCGTGGCTCAAAAGCAAAATATAAAATTACAGTTTAAAAAGCTAACTCAACTTGAGTATGACAGTGACTTTAAAGATACAACACCAAAGCCTTGATCCATGAAAGAAATAACTGATAAGCTATACTTCACTAAAATTAAAAGACTTGTGCTCTGAAAAAAGACAATGTCAAGAGAATGAAAAGACAAGCCAAAAGCTGGAAGAAAATATATGCAAAAGATACATCCGATAAAGGACTATTATCAAAATATACAAAGAACACTTAAAACTCAGCAAGAGGAATCCATCTCACCTGTATTGGAAGGTAAAATGGAACACTGAAAAGTATAGGGCTGTGGAGCATGTTAACTTGGATTCAAATCTCAACCCTGCTACTGACTGACTAGATATATCATCTTGTCAAAGTTTTATTTTTTACCTCTTAGAACTTCAGTTTCCTGAGGTTCTGAGGAAGATAACAATAATATGTGCTTCTCTGGATTGTTGTAATTAATTGTAGATGTTTCCCTAAAATCCAGTCCACATGTGCCAGGTGAGCTTTGGAAATTCTCACCCCACAGGCTGGGGACTGGGGGTGTGGCACCTTGACCAATTGCCATGATAGTCCTCCCTACAACTAAAAGAATTTATCAACTGGACTTGATAAATTCTCACCAGAACACATTTGCACAGGTTTAATCTATTCCATTCCTAGGCGGTCAGAGCTGTTTTCAGTGATTTCAGAAATGAAAACCACAATGGCTTAAAAAACACTTTTTTCCTCTCATGTAAAAAATAGTCCAAAGTAGAAAGTCGTGGGCACAGGCAACTACTCAAGAAACCAGATTTCTTTTATCTTCGTTTACTGCCATCTGTAGAGAGTGGCTTTTCTCCACTCTCTACAGATGGCAGTAGTCACAAAATGTTGCACCACCAGGCAGTGCCTCCAACTTGCAGGCATGAAGAAGGACAAAGAACAAGAGATGCATGTCTGTTGAGTTTGTTACTTTTCATTTTAATCAGTAACTTCCATAAAAGCTCTACTCAACAGATTTCTGGTTATGTCTTTTTGACTATAACTAGGTCAATGCCCCAGCTACAAAGAAGCCTGGAAAGCAGAGTTCTTTAACTGAGCATGCTGCTACCCTGAACAAAATTGGGGTGTGTACATAGGAAAAATGAAGGAGAGATTGCATATTGGATAGGCAACTAGAGATATTGAGCGTGAAATGTTTTTCAAAATCTCTATATCTTGTTCTCTGGCATTAATTGTATATGCTTGTTACTTTGGTTACTTTGCAATATTTCCACTAGAGAATAGAGGAAATCATAAACTCTGTGTGCCCCAAATGACAAAGGACATGTTACAGTTGGATGTCATCACTTGGGCCAAATATCTCAGATAAAAAAGAGGAAAGTCTAATGTCTCGTATCCATCCATACAGCTAGACTTTGGCAAAATGTTTAACCTGCTTAAGAAAATGGGGAGAGGTCATGGTTTCTTCACTGTTAATATCTGATTTTGGACCTCAGGGCCAAAGGATGGAGTTCTTCATATTCATCAGTTTATGGTATATTATCACC